GGGGCACAAAAGACCCATCACCTCCTCCCTCCTCTCCCCGCTGGATCCGTCTGTATATGAGTTCAACAGTGAGAGATTCTATGCCACTGTATCCTTTCAGTCAGTAGATATTAGTTCTCAGTTTCTAGAATTTCCCCCTAAATCATTAAATGAATTTTCAGCCGTTCAGCCCCGCTGGTTTTTTCGCAGTCCACAATAGCACTTATCGAAAAAGCGGTGCCTGGTTCTTCTTCAATTGACGAAAAAGTGAAAAGGCTCGTTGACGTGGTACGTTCCTTTTCTCATTGTCATGAGTTTCATACATTTCATCCGTACACTATAAAGTACGATTTTCGTAGTCTACGACACACACACACACACACACATACATACATACATACACACACACACCTAGGTTCACATGTAGTGCGGTAATTGCAATTGCAGTTTGATTGGCTCTAATTTATATTGTGGTCCTGAACAGCTGTGCATTCGGCAAGTTTTTCGATTAATTTAACCAGTATTCCAGCCTGTTGTCCATTTCGGCGCTCATTTCTTCCCCTTAAGGAATCCCCAGCTCATTGATTGTCTTGATAAAGGCATTTAGCAGGGCTTTGGCCTATCGCTACGTTAAAGGTTTATAAGTTGGACTAGTGTGTGTGCAGTGGAGTGTGTAAGTGTAGAAAAATATACACATACAGACACTAAGGTATACACCGTAAAGGGAAATAGAGGAAATAATTTTTAAAAAAAAGTGGCGAGGCTCTGTAGAGTCGACAGAACAAGGTGATGTGGCGAAAACTGCGACTCTGGATACCGGAGATGGGAGAGAGTGTTTTTATATCCCGGTGGTCACAGATCACTAAGATTGTGCAAATTTAACGGGATAGGGTGTCCAAAGATTGAATCAAGGACCAGGGTATTGCACCGTAATGATACAAAGGCTGCTTATGCAATTTTTAACAAAAAACCATAAATCATTATGTGAAATATTATGTGACAAGTCGTTTTAATTGTCCTTGGTGCATGTTGAGCAGTATCATCTAGTCCCGAACGTTACTACTCCTAGACCACGTTGGAGGAGTAACTTCCCGACTAAAAAAAGTTTTTTTTTTCATATTCAGTAATAGGTGATATAAGAACAAACACAAAAAAGAATTTTTTTTTT